ATACCCGACGTGCCGACTAAGAGGTATTTTCTTTTTACAAAAAAATAACTCAAAAATCGATCTATGGAGGTGGTTTTTTGTTTATATAAAAAACACGAAATTCGTTGATATTGCGTGACATTGTCGAAGTGCTCTCTCTTGAACCACGCGTTTGGGATCAGGCACTGGATGGGTGGGAAAGTTGATACTGGTAGTCGATAGCCAGTGCCCTGCTGAGAATGATACTGATGTGAGCTAGTTAATTGCCAATGAGCCAGCCGAGCGAAGACGCGAGGCTGGCGAGACAGCAGCATTATAGAGCCGTGCGAAAGGGGCGAAAGTACTGTGCAGGCGGAAAAAATCTTGAGTGATCGAGAGACATGTTTGTAAGGTAAGATTCCTGAGATTCCAATGACGTAATGAAGAGGTCGATTGTCTTACAACGGACCAATCGTAGCGCGCAGAGATTGTGACGTTAAGCCCGCATGGTTGTGATCGTCGATGCCCAGCAGTTTTGGCATTCATTGAGCAGAGTTGTGATCAGTTGTGATCAAGTTTGAGGTAAGAGAAACGTAATTTTCACCTGCTTTTGTAAGTTTTATTTGCTATTATTTCCAATTCTACTTAAGTGTACTTTAGTTAAGTGCCATTGTGGTATATTTATCGAGCTAGCAAGCTCAACAATCGGCCAGCGAGCCAAAAGAGTACTCGGCCACCGCGTGCCAAACTCGGCCAGTGTGCCAAATTCGGCCAACGGGCATAAAGCGATCAAAGAAACTGAGAAACCTCTTTAAACTGAATTCAATCAGAGCAAAGCTAAAACAAACGACAACTGAAGCAAACTATCGGCCAGCGAGCCACACGAGAGTAAACTCGACATCGGCCAGTGAGCCAACTTTGTCACCGCCAGCGAACAAAAAGCAATCAAAGCAAGTGAGATTTAAGGCCCGGTTCAGACGTCGCATTTCTACCGTGTCGTATTCAATTCAACGAATTAAATTCGATAGAAATTCGACGTCTGAATCGGCTGCTGCATTTCTGCCGCACGTTCGACTGGTCTTGCTGTAGATCCGACAGAAATGCGACACAGATTCAAACATCGAATTTCTGCCGTGTCGAATCTAATTCATACATTATGTTAATTTATCTTTTTCTCAGCTCGTGAGTGGGCCCAATTCAACAAATCCTGCAATCTGATTGGCCAGTGAAATTTCACACCTGGAGAAATTTCACACCTGGAGCGGGCAGAATTTTCTCATTTGGACCACCGCAGCGGGCGGAATCCGTCGAGTTGATCTATTTTCGTGAACGAAGTAGCGGTAATTGTCAATCTTTCGCCCATTGCACACTTCCATAGCCGATTAATCAACTATTCACCTTTAAATGGCAAGCAAAGTCACTGTAAGTAAATTCAATCAAGTTTTTTGAAGTTGCGAGAGTTTGTTTGGCTGTTTGTAGCTCGGCGCTGTAATGGCGCGTAATCCTGTGTCTCTCTCTGTACGATTTTAAGTAAAAAATGAGTCAATTTCAGTCAAGTTTACCTCTCCGATCGTTGCCATATTTGAGAGAATTTCTGTGGAATACACTTCACGAATTTCCTCGCTATCTGCTACTCCA